CAGAGTGGGCAACAGAACAGGCAGATCAACCGAAGTACACTGCTGAGGGGAGCAGTGGGCGAGTCAGGAGAGGTCTGCTGCGCCACGTGGGTAGCTCCCTGGCCGGGGATTGAACCTGTACTGCAGTGGCTGCGGATTGCTTCATAGATTGCGTCTTAATCCCTTGTGCCACCAGGGAGGCCTGCTTTATGCCTTTTTTGCCTTAGGAACAGCTTCATAGGAATGCTGTACTTTTGGAAAGCAGGGGAAACCTGTTTCATTCATTTTGCATCATTTTGTTTTTTGATCTCTTGCCTCGGTTACTTTTTTAGAAGTAGGAGCCCCTATTTTCTTCCATCTGAATGATTTGGGTCTCATATGTATCAATTAATGAAGTAAGCAGAGAAAATTTTTGTTCCTCCCTTTAGCAGCAGGAGGGGCACAGAGCTGGTTCTCTATGACCTGAGCAGATGGGTAAAGGAGAAGTCCTAGAGCCCTCAGTGGCTTTTTCAGGCTTTTATTGAGTTTACCAGGTACATGACAGGCAGGGGTGCTGGGGGGCCAGGAGGCTGGCAGGCCTCCTAGCCCCTGGCGAATCTTCACTCTTTCTGGGCTCTCTGGCATTCTCTCGTGGCCTCCGCTCCTCTGTTGGTTCTCTTCCTGCTCTCTCGTTCTTCTACTGCCATCCCCGTGATGCCGCCCTTATAGGCCCAGTCTCAGCCCTGGTGTACCCACCTACCTATGCCCACACCTTACTCCAGGTGCCCGCCATCAGGCATGCATTCAGGACCTCAAGGATCCATCATCTATCCTGATGGCAGGAGGGCAGAAAAGCCTGACAGTTACTTACCCTACACTCCCACATGACAATTTACACTAACTTGAATATCTTTCTTAGTATAAGTTGATGTTGCCCCAGAGTGTGACAGTAGTGATGGACTCTGTTGTATGCTTGTGTGGAGTTGGGGTCATGTGGAATGAGGTTGTCTAGTCAGTCACTCTTGATGAGTACGACAGATACTTAGTTTCCACTATCCATGGCAGCTCTCGGAGAGAAGGTGAGTTACAGAGTTAAAAATGAGATTCTTGCATCAACCCAGGACTCCTGAACGAAAGAAGTCTCAATGGACTAATTATATCTGCCCAGATACGGTGTGAATGGGGAGTATTAATAGCAATGGAGAGGGAATGAAAATGAGTTAAAGTTTATGTCGTGCCTGTGGCCATATGTTTGTGGAAATGGATTTTGGTTGTGAGAAATTTTCTGTAAAGGGATTTTTCTAAAGGTTTCTATCACCGTTGTGAATCAATGAGGAAAAAAATATAATGTATTTTGCATTTTAACTTGGCTGCTGTGTTCTTAGCAAGAAAGCATCATGTACCTCCTATTACCACTCCTGCCTTGAATCTGAACCCCTGAGTCCAAGGGCGCAAAGTGTTGGGTATTGTATTTCAGAACTATTGATAGGATACAGCTGGCTGACTCAGAGAATAAGAGGCTGGGGGTGGGGGTGTTGGGTGAAGACTGAATCTAGGAGGAATCTCGGTTAACATTGGCAAGAGGGGTGAAGACCTGTACCCATTGCCATGACTGTGTAAGAGTGATGGCAGGAAGCCTGTGGAGACTGGACATGGAGACCCTTGGTCTCTGATTGAGCTGAGGCAAGAGGACAGGCCAGCTGCATCTCTGAACTGCCCTGCAGTCATGATGACCAGTGCCTGTTAGTATCTTTGGCTGTAGAAGAAAAATGGTAACCAAGCCAGCTGCCACAGAACAAAGCCTCTGCCCTCATTTTCCAAGCATTCTGTAATTTCCCAGAATTCTTGTGAATCTTGGGGAACACGTGGAGGACCAGGTCCTGAGTAGCAAGATGGAGAACCACTTTCTTCCTCAACTGTGTCATCACAATTGTCCTCCCACCCTACTCAGTGAGGGCAGATTGGGCCCAAATTAAATTAATTTGAGTTACAATAATCAATGGAACATTAAGTCAATTACTGACCATTATGAGAGAAATCCACACTTAGTCAACTTTTTTATAATTAAAACCTATGGGAGTCTTGTGAAAAACAGCTTTGCAAACAATGCTTTGCGAAGCACTTTCCTTTTGAAGTATTATTTTTCAGTGATTAATTATGCTCACACCCCCTAATTAGGAAATTGCTCCCCAATACATGTTAATTTTTAGGCTTTTAGTAAAACCAGAATTTTTAAAGCCTCTTAACATTTTTTCCCCTTTATCTTTGGATAGAGTCTTGTCTGTCATATTCATTGGCCAGGTGATCTCAAGTGAAGCCTGCTGGCAATGCATTTATAGATTTAGGTACTTATTTACTCGCTTACATTTCTTAAGTAATTTTTTTTTCACTGAGGTAACAGTTTACAATATTGTATGTGATTTAGAGGAGTACGTTCACATCTCTTTATGAAACTGAGCAAACTTGCTTGGTGGGTCCTCACCATCTCATTACAACTGGGTGACATGACCCACAGCAGACTTGGGCTATGAAACAATAGTAGCAGGATTTATTTACATAGGGAGAGAGCAAAAGGGAGAGAGATAAGGGAAAGAGAAATTACAGGTTGGCCCGGATGGCCAGATATCATCTGTCCTACTCTAGATAGCATATACTGAGCAGAGACCTAGGTCCAAGCAGAAGCTGAATGTGGCCAGCTGGCTGCTTCTGATTGACACCTCTCCTCACCAGCAGCTTAACTGTCAAAAGCTCAAAGGCCAGCCCTTTTCCTAGTAGCCCCTCGGGGTGGATTCTGAAAAGCACTGCCTCCTACATTCAAGTTGGAATATAAGCACCACCCTGGCTGGGGGTTTCCTTCTCACTGTTCCTCTTATACTCAGGTGTACCCGATCACAGCACATCCACCATCAAAACACTCACGATCCTCCACCCTCAGCTGGAGCCTCAGCTCTATAGTCAGATCTAGGGTTCTTTGTCTTAGTTTTCACTGTGCCTTTGTTTTGTTTTTCTATATTCCGTGGATGAGCAAAATCATCTGGTATTTGTCTTCTCTTTCTGACTTACTTCACTTAGCATAATCCCTTCCAGTTCCATTCATGTTTTACCCAAATGGCAAGGTTTATATATATATAAACCTTGTTATGGAGACATTTGAAACTCAGTTTCTAGTTACCATGAACAATATGCTATCTAATAGGACAGATGTTATCTGGCCATATGGGCCAACCTCAGTGAAAAAAAAATTACTTAAAAAAATATATAGATAATTAGTATTCCATTGTGTATATACACATCTTCTTTATCCAATCTGTTCCTGTACACTTACATGGATTCCATAGCTTTGCTTTGTAAATAGTGCTGCAATGACCACGGACATGCAAATATCCCTTCAAGTTAGTGTCTTTGCATTCTTCCAGTAGCTGCCTGGCCATGGCCGTGCTGCATGTGTGGCAGATCTGCTTTTATTGTTTTGAGAAACTTCCATACTGTTTTCCACAGGGGGTGGGCCAATCTACATTTGCAACTGTGTATAAGGTTTTTCTCCTTATCTTTGCTTATTTTATTTATGCATACAGGAGCTGGGGTACAGACCAGAGATACAGAGGCATGAGAGGATTCACCCGAGACAGAGTAGGGACCAGAACAGGCAGACTGACTGAAACACAGTGCTGAGGGGAGCAGCGGGGCGAGTCAGGAGAGGTCTGCTGTGCCATGTGGGTTGCTCCCTGGTGGGCTGGAGATCGAACTTGTGCTATAGAAGCTGTGGGTTGCTTCACAGCGCAGTGCTTAACACCTTGTGCCACCAGGGAGGCCCTATAACTTATTTTTATAGTGTTTTGCGCCATAAAAAACTAATTTAGAAATCAAAGATCTTGGCTTATGGGTTGTATGGGGAGTCTTGCTTTTCCACCCATTCATCCTCCTCCGTGGCTCTTTAGTTGGTGGAGAGGAGCCATACTGGACGAATTTCTGTTATTTCACCATCACCTGCCCTTTGTGCTTCTGGGTCTGTGAGCACATGGTTCCTGTGACGGCTCACCCCCCCCACCTTTGCTCCTCCAAAGCTGACCTCGATCATCTGTCCTTCTGATTTTGGTTGCACATTGGTTCCTCAAGTCGCCATCCCTGGCACCCCTCTATCCTGGTTCGGTTCTCCTGTTTTAGACTCGGGTCCTGTGACATCAGAGGACGCGTTGGTCACATTTGTGTCCATCTGTGTCAGCGCGTCTCCTTCACTAGACTGTCAGTTCCATGCAGTCAAGGACCTTATTTTCTTTGTCCTCCCCACTCCCAGTTGTGTTTATGTTGCCTGGCACCACAGACACAAAACAAACTAGAGTTGCAAATAAATGTTATTTTTACATGTATTCTTGGCTTTTGTTATGGAGACATTTGAAACTCAGTTTCTAGTTACCATGAACAATATTTTCTAACTTATAAGACAAAGCTGCAGATAGGTGTAACCCCCTGGTGTTAATAAGCATGGGCTACAATTTGATTCTTGGTTCATTGCCTGTGGTGAGTTCCTTGATGAGGTCGTTGGAGATCAGCTCCCTCATCACTTCAGTAAAGATAATAATACTGTTGAGAATCTGTTACTAGTTAGTTGCTGTGGTCGGAAAGCCAATTGTATGTAACTGGTGTTTAGTTTTTATTTAGACAGAATATATATATATATTTTTAAAGATTTATTTATTTATTTACACAAGCACTGGGTACAGTCAGAAGTGCGGGAGGGTGAGAGAATTCACCAGAGCCAGAGCAGGGAGCAGAACAGGCAGACGGTCGAAGTACACTGCTGAGGGGAGCAGTGGGCGGCAGGAGAGGTCTGCGCGCCATGCCGGACCCTCCTCCGGTGGCCGGGGAGCAGCCGGGGATCGAACCGTGCCGCGGAGGCTTCAGGCGCTTCGCAACCCAGTGCTCAACTGCTGCGCCACCGGGGAGGCCCTAGACAGAATATATTTTGATGTCGTACTAGTTTCAGAAGGATTTGTCTACTCAATAATGGTTACCTAGGAATTTAGTCATTGTTCAGGATGGCCTGGGAGCTTGAAATATAGAATCCCAGGCTCCCCTCAGACTTAGCAAAATAAGCATTTTAACAAGATGTTCAGGTGTTTGGCCTGACCCTTAAGTCTGAGAGGCATTGCTTTAGACTGCAGTATATTATAAGCACTTGAGGGCCGCCAAGGAAAACTACTGGTAAGCATTTGTTTATTCATTCACTCCATTTATTCATTCATCCATCCACAAAACAAATACCTTTGAAGTTTACAATTTTTATTAGGCCTTGGTAATGTTGATAATAATAACAATAGTAGAAGAAGAAGAAATAAGGAGACACTTAACAGACTGTCTTATTTCTAATTCTCACAACAACCTCAAAAGGAAAGAGGTATAACCATGGACCCTTGAACAACCCCTGCTTAGGGCTAACCCCACACACAGTTGAAAATCCATGTGTAACTTTCGACTTCCCAAACACTCAACTTATAAACTGCCTGTTTTTGACCCAACAAATCCTTACTGAAAACATTTATTTTCTTACCTGTGAATGGACCATAAACCATGTGTGCAAAGGTTTTGACAATTTTTTTTAAGAATTATTCCCTTTTTGTATGATTTTTTAAATTTTTATTTATTTTGCATAGAAGACGTTGGGGGTGGTGGTGGTGAGAGGATTCACCAAAGACAAAGTGGGGAGCAGAACAGGCAGATCCACTGAAATACACTGCTGAGGGAAGCAGCGGGCACGACAGGAGAGGGCTGCCTTGCCATGTGGGTTAGCTCCCTGGCTGGGAATTGAACTCATGCAATTGAAGGCCCACGGCAATGCTAGCCCTGAGACTTAATCCCTAGGCACAAAAGTGTATATTTGGATAGTGTACATTTTATGGTAGTAAATCATAAAATACTGTTATCTCCATATAGTTTATGCATTCATGCCACACCTAACTTCATCTTCATTTTCCCCCTATTTTAAGGCCATCTAGTTATTCTGAGAGTTTTTCAAATTGTCCCAAATGTCAAAAAAATTTCCAAAGCAATTTTTTGGGAAAAAAAAAAAGGTTCATGTATAAGTGGACCTTACTGTTCAGATGTGCATTGTTCAAGGCCAACTGTAGTTCCATTTTACAGACAGACCTTGGGAAGTTAGGTAACGCCTGCCCACAGTTTCAGCCAGATCCCATCTGACAAGTTCCCGAGCTTTCTATCAATACTATTCCTTCCTAAAAGTGAAGGATGTATGGTGATCCGATCCTTTGAAATTTTAGATACTTTCACAGCTCATTTTGGGCATATATATTTTTTTAAAAAGTGGAGCTTGATCTTGTTACTTATAAACAGTACTTTCCTTCACAGGGAAAATGGATGTAGAGAGGATTCCTAAATAAAAGTATTACTTCTCTGCCCATATCAAATGGAACAAACGGAACAGTATGCCAGTTTATCTCACAATCTCTGTGGAGGAGTAAGATCAATTGTTGAAATGCAGTCTGAAAGATCCACGAGAATGGCATTTTATCATTGCATCAAATCTTGTGTTTGACCTCAGAGGCCCCGGTAGTGAGTTCAAGTGAAAAGCCAGATTGGGAGGGCTGCTCGCGCTGCCCCGACCTGGCAGTGTCTCTGGATCTCAGCAAGTGTCACTAAGGAGGTGAGCAGAAGAACACGTCTCGCAGGCTGGTCTGTGAAGTGGGGCAAGATACCAATTTTACTACCCATCACAAATCACTTGCTTCTGTCAACACAATGCTGCCTGCGGTCCTGCTCTGTGTCTCCACCTTCTTGTTTGCCGGGAAAGAGATTCCAGCTGGGGCCATTGACGCAATGCAGTGCCTTTGATTTCTACTCCAGGGTCTTAGGGCAGGCGTGTTTGCTGCGCAGTAAACAGAGTTTTTCGGGTCATCGTCATCTTTTCCAGTACTGCAAGACAGACTGATTTCAGCACCAACAAGCAAAGATTGTTTCCTTGTTATTATCCTCCCACCCCCCACCTCTCAAAGTTCCATGAAGTTGACCAATTCAGGCCAAGCCATGAGGATGTTTTAGGTCAGGATAATTCACGCTTTCTTAATGCCAGGGAACTCGGGGAGCTTTGTGTAGGGTGCTTTGGAAGAGCCTGCTTTCTGTTTGTGCCTTTTCAAGAAATGGTGCACCCGCTCTTAATCCAACACGAAAGGGAAGGTTCTCTGTGCCAGCAATCCCACATGAGAGATGGAATCCTATTCAATAAACCTGGGGGCAGCCTTTTTTCTGAAAGCTTGAAGAAAGAACAAAATCACCTAAAATCACATTCCTGGCCATCTCCCTCAAACTCATGGCTCTCATTAGTCTAGATACACACACGCAAAGATGCTTCTCTGGCTCATCTGGGATGGCTTCCAGGTGGTGGTGATGAGTGTTAGATGTATGGCAAGTTCTACAGCTGACTAGGCAGACAGCAGTTTCGAAAAAATGAGGTGTAAGTATTTCTGGGTGGGAGTAACCAACCAGGCTTGCTCCAAGTCATGTTCCAGTTCAGAACAGCAAGGGCAGCCACTCAACAGTGAAGGAAACAAGACCCTTGGAGGGTTTTTTATTTTTTGTTCCCCGGTTACTGAGGATTGCACTTTTTTCCCTTCTCACATTGAACCCAGTGCCTTTTTCTTGAGGAGGGACCCATGTATAAATAGGGTTTTGCTCAGGGTATCTTGCAGCTGCTGCGGGAAGCTCGGGGACTTCCAGCCTGACCCCCGAGTCCCAGCGAAACACTCCCCTCCTTCCCACTTGCAAGTTTTCCCATCCTGTTAACATTCCTCTTTAAAATGGAAACACACTGTTTCCATCTCAGCACCGCTCACTTGACCTTCTATATCACTGATGATTTGTAGAAAGAAAGAAGGAGTCACTGCCTTCTGAATTCTTTCCCAGTTTCAGCTTCTTCTGCCTTCGTTAGTGGGCCCCTTCGACCTCTACCCCTGGCGAGAATTCAACAGAGACAAGCACTCGGCCAAGAAATTAAGCTGGATCAAACTTCTGAATAGTGTCCAAAACACAATATCGGTGCTTCTTCCATCCCAAGGAACGACCAGAATAACCCCCGAAGTTTACTTCCCTCAGCAGCACAAGCATGACAGGGAACATGGGGGTGTTAGCACATTAAAAAAATTTTTTTTAATGAATAATATCCTCCGGTTAAAAAAAAAAATTTTGTTCACATTGCAAGTTGCAACCATCACAAACCCCCTTCTTCACGTCTTTCCTCCTTACTCTACAGAACACGATTTTCTTTGAAGTCTGTTTTAGCTTTCATAAAAGACACACTTCAGCCCTCTACCCAAATTCATGACAGTTATCTTTAGATTTACGACAAATCTTAGACTTGTCTAGGGCAAAAAATGTATATTTATTTAAACGTGAAAGCAATCTCCTGAGAGCCTTGTGTGGGAACCACATTATTTCAGTATTCCTGTGCTGGAAAGGCTGTCTTTTCAAGTCATTCTTGGCTACCGGCCCTGGAGAATGAAGCCTCGTCCCAGCGGGGCAGCAGGAGAAAAATACTAGAATAGAAATCAAGAGAAGTAAAAATCCTAGTGGACAGGGTTTACATGCACTGCCTCTGTTCAAAAGCACCATTTTAGTGATCAGCTAGAAAGTCCCGGCTCAACATCTACTGCCAAATGTCTCGTCATCTTGAGCAAGTCATTTTCTCTGGTCTCTAACCCGGTGAGCTGATGGCTAAAATTGTGCATTTGAACTGAGGCAATCAATGCATGTAAACTCTGTTTTGTTCTACTTTTTTTTTAATTTTTTTTTAATAGAGGCATGTTTATTTATTTGTTTGTTTGTTTGTTTGTTTTGTTTATACATGCACTGGGTACAGTCAGAAGCACAGGAGGGTGAGAGAATTCACCAGAGCCAGGGCGGGGAGCAGAGCAGGCAGAAGGACCGAAGTACACTGCTGAGGGGAGCAGCAGGCGGCAGGAGAGGTCTGCGCGCCGTGTGGGACCCTCCTCCGGTGGCCGGGGAGCAGCCGGGGATCGAACCGGCGCCGCAGAGGCCGCGGGTAGCTTCACAACCCAGCGCTCAGCCGCTGCGCCACCAGGGAGGCCCTATTTTTTTTTTTTAATTGATGTGTCTGCTTCTCAATATAATCTTACATAAACTCCAGGACGTAATATAGATATGCATATATTCTATACAGTTTATGAATTCAAAACGGTAACCTTTATAAGTTAGGCAATGAAAATGGTCCATTTTTGTGTTTATAGAAAATAGAAATGGGAGTTGTATGATTTTGCAGGGCTGATGTAGCAAAAGGCCACAATCTGGTGACTGGAAGCAAGAGAAAGTTATTCTCTCCTAGGATCCTAGGGAGATTTGAGGAGACTTCCATGTATCCGTTTTCTTAAGTAGGAGCCAAAGAAAATCTACTCTAATAAATCAGGTCAAAAGTTTACTGGTATGCGAATCTCAAGCTCAGTCTAAAAAAGGAAATTGGGATATTTTATAAAAGGCAAAGTCTCCTCTTCCATGGACAGTCCAGAACACTGTTTCTTCAGAAGTGAAGAGGTATCCCCTACTATACATTCAAAGGGCACTTAATCTAAATATCACAGCATCCGAGTCTTTCCAGCACGTGCAAGCTAGAGTACTTTACCTTCCATTTTACCATCATTGCATTAAGGACTCAATGGAAAAATGGACAGTGGTGTGGTAGCAGGGAAATATTGTGTAAAAAAAAGTATAAATATTAATCTAACATCTAAAAATTATTGAAAGTGAGCTAAGAATAAACAAAAAAATTTTTTTAAATAATAAATTTTATTTTTATATTCCCCATACAATTGCAACCCCCCCATTCTGACCCCAATCCCTCCCCTCCTGCCCCCCACCCCCCAAAAAGTGTCTCTGGTTCATAGTTTCTTGTTGATTTTGATTTTCACTTTCTTATAGTTATTCATTTTCCTGGTCCCTTATTTAAGTTTTCTAGATTCCTGCTATGAGTGAGACCGTCTGGTATTTTTCTTTTTCTTTCTAGCTTATTTCGCTGAGCATGATCCCTTCCAGCGCCATCCATGTTGCTGCAAATTGCATGTGTTTATCTTTTTTGAATGCTGAGTAATATTCCATGGTGTATATGCACCACATCTTCTTGATCCAGTCATCTATTTTTGGGCATTTGGGCTGTTTCCAAAGCTTAGCTATTGTAAATAGTGCTGCTATAAACATAGGGGTGCAGGTGTTCTTTGGAGTTGATGTTTCTGTGTCCTTTGGGCAAATACCTAGGAGTGGAATTGCTGGATCATATGGAAGCTCTATGTTTAGTAGGTCCAGAAATCTCCACACAGCTCTCCACAGTGGTTGGACCAGTTTGCACTCCCACCAACAGTGCAGAAGAGTTCCTTTTTCTCCACACCCTCGCCAACATTTGTTGTTGCTAGTTTTTTTAATATGTGCCATTCTCACTGGTGTAAGATGGTATCTCATGGTAGTTTTGATTTGCATTTCCCTGATGACAAGTGATGTTGAACATTTTTTCATATGTCTGTTGGCCATTTGCATTTCCTCTTCAGAGAAGTTTCTTTTTAGCTCTTCTGCCCATTTTTTGACTGGATTATTTTCTTTGTTTTTGTTGAGTCTCATCAGCTCTTTGCAGATTTTTGTGATCAGTCCTTTATCATTAGTGTTTAAACAAAAATTTTTTTAATGAAAAATTTGAAATCAATAATGTTGGCAAAACTGACGAATTACCATTTCAGTTGGTTCAATGTCTTTGAAGAACTATTTGGCAAAAAGTAATGAATTATAGAAATCTTAGTCTTTCTCCAGTGATTATAATTCTGTTAATTTGTTCTATTTAAATAATTCCAAAGAAAAAAAAATGGACTATACTTAGAAAGATTGTCTTAGCATCTCTGTTGAAGAGATAAAACCTATAGCAAAAATAGACAGGGTGGGAGATTAATCAATTTGTATTCTGCCAATTTAATAGACTATTTTGCAATAATTAGGAATAATAGTTTTGCAGACTGTGTCTATACAGAATAATTTTAAGTAAAAAAATTAAGAAGTACACATTAAAAAAATTAGAGATTCTTTTGAGAAGAGCATGCCGGGGCTCCCTGGTGGCACAAGGGGTTAAGTACCACACTATGAAGCAATCCACAGCCTCTGCAGCGCGAATTCAATCCCTGGCTCACCAGAGAGAAACCCACAGGGCAAAGCAGATCTCTCCTGTCTCGCCCTCATCAATGTATTTCAGTCGGTTTGCCTGTTCTGTTCCCCACTTTGTCTCTCGTGAATCCTCTCACCCCCTGCATCTCTGGCCTGTACCCCAGCTCTCATATCCATAAATATAAATCTTTTTTAAAAAAAAGAAGAGCATGTCAATAGAAACTATAGTAAAGTCTTTTCTTTTAAGGCTGTCTTTAATAGCTATGCTAGTAGTTAGCAGACCTTTTCTCCTTTTGCTTACCCCACACAAATTTTCAAAAAACAGTTCAACCAAAAATAAGAAGAATTTATTTAATTTTTACAAATGCTGATTTAGAATAGTGTTCTATGTCCTGATACCTTGTTTGTTAGATATTCGGTGCTCCCATGTTTTGCTGAGAGAAAACACAATTAAACCTCCCATAGCTGTAGTTGGAAAACCATGTCCATTTCACTGTGAAAAAAATATTGTGGTAGCTTGTGAAGGCACAATATTCTAGTTGCAAATTTACTGAATTTTTATGTAGAGGAGAGAGAGGGAGAGGGTTGTATAAGAAAGTCCTATGTGAAGAGTATGTGAAATCTGGGAACCAAGAAAAATAAAAAGTAAAACACAACTCCTGAAAAGCCATGAAGGATGAAACAGGAGGTCTTTGAAGATCATTTAGATGATAATTTGATGATCACTTTGGCCTATAGCAAACAGCACCAAATGCTTGCATTTTTCTAACATGAGGGGGCAAGGTAAAAAAAAACACAATTTGACAAAAAAATTGATCAAATCCTTTTTACTCTGGTACAAATATTGGCAATGTAATTTCCAAAAGATAGATCATCCTTTTATTTTATTTTATTTTTTCCTTAAAGGAATTTTCACAGATCATTTCCTTTTTTTTTTTAAGGATTTATTTATTTATTTATCTATTTATTTATTTATTTATACAAGCACGGGGTATAGTCAGAAGCGTGGGAGGGTGAGAAAATTCACCAGAGCCAGAGGAAGGAGCAGAACAGGCAGACTGACAAAATACACTGCTGAGGGGAGCAGCGGGTGCAGCAGGAGAGGTCTGCCACGCCATGTGGGACCCTCGCCGGGGACTGGGGATCAAACCGGTGCTGCAGAGGGTGTGGGCAGCTTTGCAGCCCAACACTCAACCGCTGCGCCACTGGGGAGGCCCTAGATCATCCTTTTAAACACACATTTTCTCCCTGAATTTTGGTGCTTTGGCTAGCAATGTGGGGCAAGTAATTGGAATACTGATGTAATTTGGCTTGTGGTGTCATTTAAACAGAAAACAGAATTTTGTTGGGTTTGTTTAAGAACTTGCCATGATATAACTGTGTAAAGTTCACATTTTCCCCCTTTTATATCTCATTTGTTCAACATATAAAACAAAATTGAGCTTTTACTGCCCTGTGTTTTCTCTCTGAAGATCTTACTGTGTGTTTATTTTGAAAACAATTCTGTTGATAAAAGCACAAGAGCTGTGGTTTGTGACTCCAAAGAACAGGGTATATGTCAGAGAAATCAAAGATGAGCAGATGAAGTCAAATTTGTCAACCTGCTTGGGAATTGATAATCAAAATATTTTGGGGAAAAATGACTGTCAGTGTTGTTCAGAGAGTAAGAGACATAACCTAGAGACTTCCATTTGGGAAAGCTCTAGTTTGGAGTGCCCTTCACATTATAGCTTCTAAGACTAATCTTTCTGTAAGCTTTCTGTTCAACTTGTATTACAACGTATGGTCTCCAGATCTCTTTGCCACCTGAAAAGTGAATATGGACAACAGCCAGATTGTTCCTGTTCTTTGTAGAAATTTATTTTGGATGAACATTTTTTGTCTCTTCTGAAGTTCTGTATGATTTTTTAAATCATAAATTTTTAAGTTTTGAATTGTTCATCTGAATACATTTATCAAAGATGGTTTCATA